TATATATAAATATATTTGTTTCAATTTATCGATAAATAAAAATTTAAACCATAGATTTTCTAAAATATTAGTCAACTGTGCTCTGGACACAAAAGCAACTTTTTCAGGCCATATATTTTTCTTTCGTTTAACTATCGATAAATCTATCTAAATTTTATACCCTCTTTTCAAAATCAATTATGTATTAAAGATTGATGAGTTGGATCCAAATTTTTGTGTTTTGAGCCAAAAAGCCCTCTAGATCTAAGATATCTGTAGGGAGCATAGAAGTTAATTTTCTCTAATAAGTATGGGCAATCAATGAAATTACCAATCATCTTACATATTAATAAATCATCCTGATAATCACGAAAGCTTTTCTAGCAATAACAGAATGGTATGATCTCTATAATTCATTAGTTTACTTTGAAAAGTGTAGACGATTTTAAGAATTTATTTGATCAGAAAGCGAAACTAGAATTGGGCAAAGTGAGCAGCTCAGCTCAATTTCGTACCTGATGTTTAAGAGTACCATCAATATCAATAAGACTGAATTCCATCTTGGGATACACAGGTGTAATTCTTTACAAAATCTACTTGTAGAACGGCAATGTTGCATCCAGGGCTCATACTATCGCTGCGGTCATTATTGTAAGACTGTGTTTGTTTGCGTTTTACGTAACTAAGCTGGAGTTATTCTCAAAATACATCCACAAAGCACCGGCATAGTCTGCAACTAGTAGTCCTTGACTAAAAACTTTTTCCCGTATGTTTCGAAGAGTTATATCTTTAGCAGATAGTCCGTTTTCTTCAGCCCATGTTGTCCAAGGATTGAAACAATTAAATGCTGTATCTGGTTTTATTTTAGCAATTCTAGTGGCCGATGATTCCAATAATTTTATTTAATTTAAATTTTTAATTCCAATTTCTACAAGGCTTTCTACTTCTTGTACTTCTTTACATTTTTTTTTCATCTGTCATAATTTGCTTTGTTTCTTCAGCCCCTTCAAACCAAGAATTCAAATAAACCTTGCAAGGATTCGGCATAGGCAGATTATCTTCAAGGTCTCATTCTTCTGTTTCTTGTAATAAAGCATTTATTGTAGGCCATACCTTTTTCCACGCTGATTAGATTAAGTCAGGTGAAACAGAGCTCCACGCGTGGACAAGGGAGAATACATCCTTCAAGTTCAATTCTTTGAGACTGCTTTTGTCAGCACCTTGAGAAATAATATGAAGGACCAATTTATTTTTATACAAGGACTGGATAACATTTTGATCCATTTGCTGCAGTAAAGGTATGCAGTTTGGTGGTAGGATATTCCCATAACTTGATCTAAGTTCTTGTTTATTTTGGTGGCCTGGAACATTGTCAAGTATAAATAAAGTTTTTTCGGGCAAGTTGCTCTTTTCTTAAACCTCTTCACTTCAGGAGTAAAGTCTTTATGGAACCATTCACCAAATACTTCTCTCGTGACTCAACTTTTAAATTGGTTTACTAACAAATCTAATTTGTGTGTTTAAGTAGCTTTTGAGCATGGAGCTTATGAGCACTTTACGTCTTGGTGCGCTCGGAGGATGCGAATGTTTTATTGGGCAACAGTCTACAGAACAACTCACTCTCGTCTAGATATTGTAGATTTGGTTCGGAAGAAGACCTAGTTACTCCACTTTGTCTTTAAAATGATAGATACATGGTTGCATTGTGTATTCATATAAATTATGAAATAATCCTTGTTCTTTTTCTTCCAAAATATAATTTTCACGTAAAGCTAATTCGGTGACAATTAGAAATTGTATTACTTCAATGACAGACTTCACGTAATACCCATATTTTTTTTAATGCTTTTTTATTTATTAACGTTTCAACACTGCTAGATGGAGATATTCTTTGTAATTTTTCCTGCTATATCGACATAGCTTGAATATGAGAAATTGATCATTCATATTTTGGAAAATCAGTTTTACAATCAGCGGCATTTTTTCAGTTTCTAAATCCTGTGGAAGTGTACGAAGTCTGTTTGCTTCCATGAGGTAAAAATTGCTGGCATGGATAGCAAAAACCAGCATTTTTCTCGACAGAATACTGCAACCATTTGTAAAGCTTGAACCAATCGGAAACAAGGCCCTGTTAACAACTTGGATTATTAATTCTCCGAATTCAAATTCAATATCAGAAGGAATACCACAGCTAACATTACCAACATGTGTTGACCAACCTGTTGCCATGAAACTAGGAGAAGCGATTGTATTTTGTTCTTCCACCTGTTTGAGCAGTGAGGTTCTTCGTGGTTAATTTGCTCTTCAACTTTTTCCAAAGAAAGCCCATATATCCATCGCGAAATCAATGAATCTTGAATTTATAGCAATAAAAATAACAATTGTACTGATTTTTGACTAAAACACTTTACCGTACACTTCACTTAACCAAACTACAAACAATCATAATCAATCTCTAGTTTATGTTTATTTTAGTTTAAAAGGGGATTCCACATACCATAGATCAAAGATATTATAATTAAATAGACCCATCACTTCATGTGATGGCACTTCAAATGCCGTCTATATACAGAACAAAGAATTATAATATGAAATGAATGTCATCAACTGTGGTATGTTCGGAAAAGTTTAGATACCTATCGCTACAATTTTTTTTATCTCAAATTGCACAAACAATTTAATTATAATAATTAATCTTAGTTTTTGGTA